TGATATCTTAGAAGAGTGGCAAAATTATACGATAAACTATCGCTTATTCGATAAAAAATGCATCCTCATTCTGTCCTATTGTTTTTGACATTTGCCTGAGTGCATATGTAAATAGTTTGCAAGTTATCGAAAATTGGCGCACACGTCATAGAAAATAATTTTAGTTTACTAAATGCTATTGTGCTATCAGCCCTTAAAAGATTTATATCGAACATCCAATTGTAAGTACGGTAGTTACCACTTTGCATTTTCGTATTGCTGAGCGTTGATATCAATTCAAGTATTAAGGTTCTTGGGATTCGATCACTTAAACCATTTATTGAGAGAAAAGCTTCTAAGAATACAACGTTTCGGCGACCTCTAGGTACATGTGATTTTCTAAAGCATACATTTTCTGTTCTCCTTAGCAATCAAAATGGACCTTTAGCAAAGCCAGTCGCAAATAAAAATCATTATTAAGAACATCATTTTGAGCATGCGATGATGAGAAAAGCCCTACTTCTTGCAAGGTCTGCATTGTCCCAGATCGTTTAGCACCATATAGTAGAATTGAGCTTTCAAGGCAGAAAGAAACATAGGCACCCGCAAAAAGTGTTCTCATGAAATGAGAAATTGTACTTTCCCCCAAAACTTTTTGGAGAGCGGGGAGTAGCAAATTTTCTCAAGGGGTGAGGGGGACAAATCCTGAAAATCTCCAAAGTTGCATACCAAATCATGCCAAAGGTACAAATTTAATGATCCTAAAGTTAGCAAAACAAGGCTAGCAGGTCATAAGTTTGATTGTTGCAAAATGAAGTGCTCAATTAGTGCTTCATTAATACCCAAAATGCATTTAAAGATCAATAATGAAGGTTCTATAGTCAGAGAAATAAATGCTAATTAAATGCTCTATGTAAAGCTGAAAAAAAAATATTAATTTTTTTTCGTATGAGTAAAATTTTAAGGTCTAACCGGATTCTCAAATAGAGTCACAGCCCCCCTTCTCCCTTCCGGAGTTCTTGGAAAAAAGTGAAAAAAAGGAATTGAAGTGAATAAGACAAACGGTTTTGCTTGATTATAATCATTTTTCCATCGCCAACATTTTCTTTTTCAAAGCGTACGTTGAATGGCTTAAAACTTTGGGGAAACCTCATGACTGCATGGTATACCTGTGTCAAATCCGGATCATTCTTCATCTTATCCTCGAGGGTCTGTCCCTGGGCAGCGACTCTCGCAATCAAGATCATGAAAAAAGTCAAAAGGATCTCCATTTCGAAAATGTTCGCACTACCGGCACTGGATCGCAAATTCTTATTTACCGCTCGCGAGTTGCGGCGCGCACTCTATTCGGGGTTGCTGCGTTGCGCGCGTGCGACGGTGCAATAGGGGCTGCGATTGGTTGGTCAAAGAGGTATCGAGATGTAACGACGAGCGCAGAACGAGCGACCGTCGAAGACTGAAGAGGGGCCGCGAGGCCGCAGATCGGCGGCGGATTTTCCGCGGGGGCCGCGCAAGCGTTAAAGCGGCACGGGCCGTAACGCCGGTCGGCAAGCCGGATGATCTTTTAAATTCAATTGGTAAAAATGGCATCAAGTAGATTGAGTTCAGCACAGTATAAACCCTCTGAGAAAAAAAAATAGTTGCGAACAATCTACAACAGAGAAATTAAACAGATGATACCAGCCAAACAGGCCCATACATGCCCTTAGAAATTCTTTCCCTGCCCTTCCGGTAGTAACCGTCCATCTGGCAACGTTGGCCCTTCCCATGTCTGATCGCACTCTTCAGACGCGGCGGCGTCCACCGTTGCAGTACGGGCAGAACAATCAAACAGACAGGGTCGCCGGGCAGTGAGCCCAGATAGCAGAATACGAGCAACATTTCCTCATTTCTCATTCAGTTTTAAATGCAAATGTATGATTAAATCTATGATGTGTGAAATATGGCTAATAGGTGCGTAGAATTACCGGGGTTGGGAGCATATAACTATACTAACATCAAAAAATTAAGATATACACTCCTCCATCCGCCCTTACAACCCCAACCCCTAAACATATTTTTCTGAAAATGATCACGAGCATCTGAAACGTCAAAAAACAAAGTCTGAGTGATTGTAATTTCTTTTCGAGTTATTATCCCTAGCTCCGCTGCCATTGAATCGATTTTCAAAAACTGCAAAGCTTTTCCCACTTTGTCATAGTAGTGATTTTGTGTGAAAACATCAAAATCCGAGCAGTACTTACCAAGTTATAGATAGGCCAAGGATTAGACAGACAGACGGAAATGAGTAACATGGTTTTTCGTAATTTATATCTCGTATAACATCCAAAAAACAATATCTGACTTTCGCGATTACAATACTTGCTTGCAGGGGCGTAGGAAGTAAAAATGAGGATCAACTTTCGATTTTGCAACGAATTTGCATTGTTTTACTTCCCACGGCTACTTCCCAGGAAGTATTGTTTATTGGATGTTATATGATATGTACATCACGAAAAACCATGTCACTCATTTCTGTCTGTCGGTCTGTCTGTCTGTCCTCTAATCCTTGGTCCGTCTATAACTTGGATATTGGTCGGATTTTGATGAAAATTTTACACAAGGTTACTGGTGTGCCAAGGACGAAAAAGCTTTGTAGATTTTGAAAGCCCGCCCAGTGGCGGAAGAGAAAAAAAACAAAAACAAAAAAATAAAAAACGCTCAAACTCCGTTTTTGACGTTTCATAAGATCCTGGTCATTTTTGACAAACATTTTAGGGGTAAAAAATTAGAGGTGCGGTGTTGTGGGGGGTGTGGGCGGGTGTATCACAATTTTGTGATGTTAGTATATCAACAAACCAACAGCGCACCTATTAGACATATTTCACAAATCATAGATTGCCCCGTTAATTTTCCCTTCAAACTTAGAACGATAGAAAACTGTTTTGGACAAGCGTCCCTGCGTCAGCTGACCTCAACAGTCGTGGCCGGCGTGACGGTGTCCTGCCGCATCAAGCTTTCAGACATTGGAGGACATTGTCAGGTGGACGATACTACTCGTACATGTAGGGCATGGAAAGGATGTTTTGGACTAATTATACGGACCTGCTTGACCGACTTGATCCGCTTAATTTCTGTTATACATTATCGTAACTACCTTTTTTCTTAGAGGGTCTAATTTAAACATGGTTTCCATGTTCAACCAAAGACAGCCAACCACAGACAGCTCTTTCATGCTTTTTGGCAACTCATCAGCATGATCTCGGCTTGGACTCTCGGACAACCAACGATAGCTTAACAACTATCCTCTATCCAGGATATAAGGTCTTTGGCACTATCTTATGCCGATGGAGTCCAACTTGTGCTGAACATATAATTAATCCATTATCAGATGACCGGGTTGCGTGAGAAATGTATAGTCAACCTTTTGATGCCATTTTCTATACATACAGCCAACCACTAGGCTTAAGCAGTTTCAAATGGTTATAAAAGAGGCATCTGGATGTATAAAAAAAGTCTTTTCAATCCGGAGGAAGCAGTTTATACCATTTTGCATTTATCAAATTTTGAAAATAATGTGTTCAAGATGGCGGTCGTTGGTAGCAACACGTTGTTTGAAGCGACTCCCGATGCTCGGAACAGCTCGTTTACACAACACGAGAATACACAGATATTGAAAGCTGATAATCGCGCAGGCCACTACACATAGCTTTTCAATGGTACGTAGACTTGCGTGTCAATCTGACCAATTGGTGGCTGCCGCGGCTGGCAGTGGTGAGGTTTGTTATATCAACGTTGTCAAAAATGTCAGTAGCACAGAGGAGAAATTTCTAGATCGTAATGATGTCAAATGGGTGAATGACTATGGACTAATTGTATGGCCTGTTTAACTGAATTAATCCATTCAATTGTTTTGTTAAGCATGTTCATGGCTAACTTATTTCTCAACCCAATATTTGGCTTTTTAATTTGATGATAGCGTTGCGTGGCAAGTGCAGTCAACCAACTAGATGCCCTTTTTTATAAGGCCGTAGGCTATTAAACTGATTTTCAAAGGGACACAACTTTTCATCCTGGATAATGTAACAGCCTTAAGTCAAAATTTGTTCGTCTTCACTTGATTTATGTTCAAGTTCCACAAAGCACATTTGTCTGGCCTGTAGCTCTGTAGCTAGCAATTTTTCCCGAAAATATCCAGAAGGCTCGAAATCAGATAGAGCAGAACAATAACCTGGTGCTCTTGAGCCGATTTCAAAATCTACAAAGCTTTTTTGTTTTCGGCTTGCTAAGTTCTCTCAAAAAGTCAGCAAAATCCGAGAAGTACTTTCCCAAGTTATAGAGGAGCAACCAAATTAGTTACTAGTGCTGGTAAAACCGATAAAGCAAAGCTTTTTCGTCCTTGGATAGTAGCAGTGGCGAATCTAGGATTTCTATGACCCGATGCACAAAGTTCGGCCCCGCTGGTGACAGGTTTCGTATTGGAACATCATGGTGTCCCGAACAAATTTTGTGTATGCCGGGGCCCCCTTTAGTTCAAAGTAGCATTTTTATGTCAAAAACAATGTATGAACGGCCAAGGCGGATCTAGAGGTGGTCTTGGGAATCGACCAGTCAACGTCATCATCACCACCCCCTCTCCCTCCCTTTCTGTGACGACCACTGCGCCTCATCCATTACTAGATAGCTAAATCCACCCCCTCCACCCTCTTGAGACTCAAAGGCTGGATCCACGCTTGTGTTCGGCTTTACAAGTTATCTTTGGTTATTAAAGAAGATAATGCCCAGCTCTGAGGGCTAAATGTCCGACCAAATACAGGGCTGAGTACAGCTTTTGTAAATTAGAAGATTGTAACCATACCCCCAACCTCACAATGTTTTGTTTTCAGAATCTTCAAAATTAGTTGTTTTAAAAACCGTCTCAATTTTGAGATCTGTGACGTAATATGTAAAATGGCTGTCCTGTTCTGATTTACTAAGTAACACACTAGAATATTCTGTATTTAGTAGAAATAAAGATAAAATGGCAAAATAAAACTAACAAAAAGATGTCTCTAATTTTATTTGATGTAAATTACAATTAAAATATTTTCGCTATTATCCTCAATGCATTTTAGGAGTAGTGATGATGAAATTATTAACTTTTAATAGAGCGAAGACATGTGAGAAATGAGGAGAGTATAACATAAAATCAATCGATAAAAACATACAATAATAATAATCGCTTTAAAAATACTTCTGAAGAGTCTAGCTCCTAAAATTTTAAAACTATTTACAAAAATATCGACTATTATACAATGTCTAATTTTGTGGAAACAACAGATCACCAAGATCAACATTTTATCAGCGTTAACGAACGATTACTTCTTGATATATATCAGCTGTCACTTACGATATGACCATTCTTAACTCGGTTTAAGCTTGCGTAAAGCGGGCCATATACGATAAAATCATCTAAAGGCATTCTTCTTGGGACACAAACCGAAGCGTTTTAACGCGTAGAACCATCTTAATCTCGGGTAATAATGATCATATCAGAAGTGTTTGATATAGAGTTATACTTGATAAAGAATTTGACTGATTTCAAAATGATACAGTTACACACGACAATGGTTCACTAGGGGCGTATTAAGTATGATTTAAACTGTTGCTTCCACAGAAAAATCACTCTTAGACATACAGTTTCGTTCACATATAATTTTTGCACAAAAGCGTTCACAAGATGACAATATCTAAAGTATGTGTGGTTGTATCGCAAACAATATTTACATAGAAAATCAAATCACCAACATGTTAATAGTCGACAAAATATATTAATCATGCATATGTAACCAATCGCTAAAGGTTCACCTCTAAATGTAATTTTTCAAAGTTTATCACAATTCAAACTAAACGTAAAAATAAACGTGTCGTTAAACAGTTTTTGCTTTTTTGTCACCTTCAATTGGCAGTGATAAACTATTTTTTCGTTATAAAAATACGGCACACAAAATACAATTTCAGGTGAAACAATGATACATTCTCACTTTACGTTTGCTGATAGTATAGAGGTCACGATAGTGACATTTATGAGAACAACCGTCAACTGTCATTATTTAAACTGTCACTGTATGACGTCATCGATGCATACTAGAAGTAATCCACTGGGTTAGTCCTACTTTAAGCTTCCACCTTTAATCTATGTTTACAATGCACGTTATGGCGTCACCGGTTGCCGTTTCTTATTACAAAAATACTTATTGCACATTGAAGAGAGATAGTAAAGAGGTAAACGTGATTTTATAACGACACAGATACACGACGTTTTAGCTGAATCTCACAAAGACAAATTAGATGAAATATTTTATAACCTTCATAATATGGTTCTCGAGCCATTATTAATTTTAGAAATATTGCACAAAATAATTCATAGTCAAACGGAAACGTGTTGGATTATGCGAATACAATTACTGCGTTTATATTTATTACGTATAAAACAGTCTTACTTTGAAGAAAAATGTAGAAATACAGAGAGACTAACTGATCTTTGTTTCACAATTGTTTTGTTTCTTTGTGTGACAGCCAAAATCATCGCTAATAATAAATCATAATAATAAAGTAATCCTAAAATATAGTATACGTAAGCCTATGGTGAGAGTGAAGTTTGAATGAAAAGCGCGCAAATATGAGAGACAGTTGTATGCCTTTGACTCTGGTATCGCTGCAGCCATCTTGGTTTTAAACCAGATAGCCCACCAAATAGTTCTTCGGCAATTGTCCCATACGGCGTCTTCTAGCTGTCAAAATACAAAAAATCTATTAGAAAACCGAAATATCAAACAAACAAATTTTGGTGAATCGAGAACATTTTCATACTATACCATATACAAGGTGATTCACAAGTCGTGACCAAAAATGAAATATCATACACAGGACCGCATTTTAAGGGGGTCTTCTATGTAACATTTTTTCCTCGAGGCCTTCATTGAAAAGATATGGTTGAAGTTTAAAAATAAAAAACATTTTTTAAAAAAACCGTCAACTGTGGAACGAAGTAAAAGTTGGTATGTGGTATTGACCTCATTCAAAAGTCTTTACTTAAAATTAACGTGCACCAGTGGCGGAGATACAGGGGATTAGTGGCATAATTTATCAGCAAGAGCTGAGATACAATTAGTTTCAAAATAAAATAGGAGGCCTTGATACCAACTTGACGTTTCTTGTGACATAGTTTGTCAAAGTTACTACTTACTACTACCATATTTTTTTTTTAAAGTCAAGTCAAAAGCTTCTTTTCTCCATTTTTGAATGTTGTGAAATGAAATTTAGCAATGATGATTATGCGGATATTATTTTTGTGTATGGGTTCTAGGTAATGGAAATGCTTTAGCGGCATCTCGGGAGTATCAACGTAGATTTCCTACCAGACGTCAACATACTCCAGATGTTTTTACGCGTTCATTTCTAAGACTTTGGCAATATGAAATTGCCAAACTTCCCGGAGTTAGAGACCATGGTGTCCGGCATACTGTTCAAGAGGAACTGGAAGTAATTAATTTGGCGTTGGATGATCCTAGTACAAGTACTAGACGAATTGCAGCCCAGTTACCATGTTCCCAAAGTCTTGCGTGGAGAAATCTTAATTCTCATAATAAACATATTTGGTCGTTAGAAAATCCCGGTCCTGTAAGAATCCACTCGTTTCAACACAGATTTCCTAGAAATGTCTGGTTCCGCATTCTCAATGGCCGTATTGCCATAACGTATAAAGGCAAACTCATACTTAGCTTTTCCAGAGGATTACATAGAAAATGTGTTAGATGACGTTCCGTTAGCAACGAGAGTATGAATGTGGTATCAGCACGACAGTGCCCCACCGCGTGTTCGTCGTGACATTTTAGACAACGATGGACACGTACATTGGCCTGCGAGGTCTCCTGATTTGAACCCCCGGGATTTCTTTTTGTAGCGCGCTTTTAAACAACTAGTGAATGATGAAAAAATCCATACTGTTGATCAGTTACAAGAAAGAATAGATAATGCGTTTCATCAAATTCAAGCCACAACAAATTTTGCGGAAATACGTTTTTCTTTATTAAAAAGATGCCGCACTTGTATTCGTCAGAATGGTGGTTTTTTTGAACATTAATTAAAATAAAGCTTTAATTATCTAATTAGTTTATTTTTATTTTTACGGAAGCAATGCGCTCTATGGAAAAACACAAGAGTTATTATTCGTATCAAATTGAGGGTAAATTTCGAAAAATTGCGCATTTCGAAAAAAAAACAGTGGCGCACTATTTTTATTTGGAAAAATAATGCCACTAATCCCCTGTATCTCCGACACTGGTGCATGTTAATTTTAAGTAAAGACTTTTGAATGTGGAGAATACTTAGGTAAATCCACATACCAAATTTTCATTCCAGTTGACGATTTTGAGGACATTAAGAAAAATGCTTTTTTTTTTTAATTGCAACACCGTATCTTTTTAATGAAGCCCTCGCGGAAAAAATTTTACCTAGAAGACCCCCCTTAAAATGCGGTCCTGTGTATGATGTTTCATTTTTGGTCACGACTTGTGAATCACCCTGTATAGTATACGCATTTATGGTACCTGATTAAAAATGATTCTGATTCTTCTAACGATTCACCAAAATGAGATTTGAGCAGTTAAATGAAGCAAGTCCTTGGCATCTGTCCTCAATAAAGGAAATTCAAATTACAGGACTTGAAGTAATTCAAGCACTAAGGTATTTCCTGGTTACAGTTCTGCTATCGTTGGCACTACTCATTTCATTTGTGGACATGCTCAAATACCATCCTCTACTTGTCTGTACGATTAAGTCTTCAAGGATTTACAGACGTAAACATATATGGTGTCTAATTGCAAAACAAGCCAATAAGAAAGAAAGAAATAACACTATAATCTATGTAACTTAAAGCTACCAACACCAAAAGCACATTGAAGAAGCGCTATGTTGTGTTAAGGTGCGTTGTTAACAGCCAGTTTGATTGCTTTAAAACTTACCAATCGTATATTATACTAGAATACAAAACCAGGTGAGATCTAATAAGAAATATTTTTTTTATACTCCAACTATCACGAAGACCCATGGGGTACCGTGGGAAAGGGGGGGCGCCTCACGGACTCTAGCGAGGTACCACCCACCTACGAGATCCACCGGGTACTACCTCCGCGAACGACAGTCAGAGACCGCTCTAGCGTCTACCAGCCTCCCTCCCTCCCCATCCATCATATCATCCCTCTTGAAAACATAGCGCTATATCAAATCACATACCTTCAGATGTTCTGCTGTGAAACGAAGATAAAAAGCCATACGACTATATCAAGTTACTAATAATAAACCTTATGTTCATTGTGTGACAATTCCAAAGTTCAAGTTATTCAAATAATTATGAATTCTTATTACTGGGTTCATTCTTTAACAAACATCGAGTGAATATTTAATTTACTTGACTACCGTGAAAAAAACCTTGTCTCGTTCTAACTTCTTTTATGCTTAATTGGTATTTATAGCTTATTTTCTTGGCTTATCGCCGATGATGTAACGACTTTGCCACCACTAATTGTACCTCGCCACCGTCCAGTAGAGGGCGCCTGCGATATTATCGACGGTAAGCCAGGAAAATTAGCTCTAAATACGTGTTGGCCATAAAAGTAGTTGGAAAGAAACAGTTTTTTTGCACGGTAGTGAAGTATATTGAATATTTACTCGATGTTTGTTAAATAATAAGCATTATGTATTCGAAGAATTTATTAAGAATGTTGTACTGCAAGGCCAAAAATCAACGATCTAGTTTGACTGACCTGATACAAACATATAAAGATAAAAAATAGGTTTTTGTAGCTAACATCAATGGATTGTTAAAAAAATATATCATTTTTTCAAAATTGTCTAGTAAGTAGTGACACGGTTACTTTCAATAAAATGCTCAATAATTGCTGTCATATCAATTTAGAGATCAGATTAGGTTTGATCCACGTTCCGAGCAGGCCGCTTCTTTTCCATTGGTCGAATTTGTGTTTAGGTGGCAAATTTTGTGCCCGGAATAAAATGAAGAAATATTTTTTTGTAGCTAAATCAGGTATGAAGTATTTCTTGATTTAATATGAGGTATCAGGGGCTCATCTTACACAAATCGTATCATTTTTCTCTAGTTTGAGAGATATTTTACAAGAAATCGACTACATTCATTAGATTGATTACTTCAAAAACTCCTGATTCAAAAATGGTGCTAAATGTAAATATTGAAGTACCTATAGAGACATCCTTTACTTGGTAATAATATCAAAGTCACTTGAATTGAAATTATTATGTTCATTTAGTTTAGACCTCACTTTAATATGCCATTTTAACATTCGATATTTATATTTCTTCTTTCAGTATATTTTCTGATCCGCACCGCAAATTCGAGTTAACGGTAGCTGGAGCACGTTTTAAGTCCATCCGTGTATTTGGAAAGTGAAAAATTCTATTTCCTTTCAGCATTCAAGTATGTGTGTTACGTTCTGCTATACACAAGCGTGTATTTTCCGTGTTTCGTTTCGCAGTCACTCGAAAAGTCCGCGTTATTCAATCGAATGGAATCTGACAAAAATAAATGAATGCATGATGCATATGTCGCCTATATTTTGTCATGAGGATATTGCACTTTATATTGGTGTTCAATTTCATTCTTGCTTTTTACTTCTTACGCTACGGGACGGGTATATCACAAAATATGTGATTTTAGTACAGATATTTATATTATATTATATACTAAGTGACGTATAAATCCGAACACCCAGTTTAAATAGTTTTATTTTAATAAAATTTTGTATAAGTACTTAATGAAGCATAATGAGTAAATGATAAAAATTTCTTTAAGCCCTTTGACCTTTAATAATGTGTGGATGCACCCTGATGTGCTATGCATTCTCCAACGCGCCTAGGCATGCTTCTGATCAGGTGGTCAATGTCCTCCTGTGGTATCTCATTCCAGGCAACCACCAACTCCTCTCGAAGTGCTTCTAGAGTCTGAGGAGGACGTTGCAAATTGAGCAATCTCCTACCCATCATATCCCACACGTGCTCAATTGGGGATAAGTCGGGAGATCTTGGTGGCCATGGTAACAATGTGACATCATTATGTTGAAAGAAGTCTATTGTGACTCTTGCAAGATGTGGTCGGGCATTATCTTGTTGGAAAGTTGGATCTGCCAGGGTGTCAAGATAGGGTAAAAGATGGGGTTCTAGAACTTCGTGGATATAACGCTGTGCGTTCATGTTACCTCTGATGAAGATTAAAGGTGACCTGGAACCATAGGCTATAGCACCCCTAACCATAACTCCAACAGTGTGATGAACATGTCTTTCAACAAAAAACTGTGGATTCCTCCTTTCACCACGTCGCCTTCTAACCCTGGCACGACCATCGTGCATACCTAAACAAAATCGAGACTCGTCACTAAAGACAATACTGTTCCATTCCTGATCCCAGAGTGACCGTTGTCTGCACCACTCAAGGCGATTACGTCGGTGTTCTCGAGTTAAAGGGAGGACCCAGTGTGGCCGGTATGAAAACAAGCCAAAACTTCTCATTCGTCGGTAAACACTTCGCATGCCAATAGGTCTTCCGTGTTCTGCAAACCATTTATTTGCAATGGACCTGGTAGTGGAGAAACGGTCCCTTAAGGCCAATAATCTTAGGCGGCGATCTTCACGGTCTGTTGTTCTACGGCGGCGTCCAGTGCCCCTTACTCTTTGCGTGCGGCCTTCTCGAAGCCATGCCTGA